ATTATGATGGTGATAATAATGATGAAGACGATAATAATGAATATGATGATTGATGATGATTGATGATGAATATGATGATGATTATGATGCTGATGATGAATATGATGATGATGGTGATGATGATGAAGATGATGATGATGGTGATAATAATGATGAAGACGATAATAATGAATATGATGATTGATGATGATTGATGATGAATATGATGATGATTATGATGCTGATGATGAATATGATGATGATGGTGATGATGATGATGGTGAAAAGAATATTATAAATGATGATGAATATGATGATGATTGATGATGAATATGATGATGATTGATGATGAATAGGATGATGATGATGATGATGATTGATGATGAATATGATGATGATGGTGATGCTGCTGCTGATGATGATTGATGATGAATATGATGATGATGGTGATGAAGACGATAATAATAATGAATATGATGATGATGAATATGATGATTGATGATGTATATGATGATGATGGTGATGAAGACGATAATAATAATGAATATGATGATGATGAATTTGATGATGAATATGATGATGATGGTGATGAAGACGATAATAATAATGAATATGATGATTGATGATGAATATGCTGCTGATGATGATTATGATGAAGATGATGATTGATGATTATGATGGTGATAATAATAATGAATATGATGATGATGGTGATGATTATGCTGATGAAGATGATGATTGTGATGGTGATAATAATAATGAATATGATGATGATGATAATATTGATAATAATAATAATGATGATGATATCAAAATAATGATCTTCTCTATGTTAAGCATTATGAGCAATCCCAGCCATTTAATTACGCCATGGATATCCTGAATATGGTCTTCACAGGACTGTTTACAGTGGAGATGGTGCTGAAACTCATCGCATTCAGGCCGAAGGTCAGTCCAGTATCTTTCCACGTCCCCCCGTCTCCATAATGATACCCTGTGCACCTTTCTATTACTTTACATCTCCATCATTGTAGTTCAGTGTTCATTCTTCACTGTAGAGGTTTCATACTCCTTCCCTGAAACGGCTGATTTCAGTAAAAATGCATTGTGATGTCTGGGGGGGGGGGGGGCCTACTGTGGCA